TAAAATCTCGGACGTTGCTAGAATAAACACTAATTTCATAGTGAAGAGAATCTTTCTTTTGGGTAAAACGATAAAATTTGTTCTTTTCTCTATTTGTTGTTTTATATCTGTCTCTATAGTGTGCATAGAAAGAAAAAAAACATCAAGTCAAGTATAGTACAGAAAAGAATATATACATACATCGTCATTCTGTTATACCATATTCTTTTTCTCAGGCATATTGAATAATACTGTTCTCAATTTTGTTTCCAATCAAATTACCGGTGAATAAATTCACCGATGCGAATTTTGACGGCTTCCCTAAGGTGTTAATCGTTTTTTTACCGAAACCTAGTGGACAGCAGGTAAATGCTTGTCATATTCGGGCTCAGCTTAGTCGCGGCTATGCTGAATCCAAATATGACAAGCATTTGGACGGACGGGTCTCCAGAAACAGGTTTCTGGAAAACCCAAACCCAAGTTTCCAGGTCCAAAAACCTTTTCAGTCAAAAAAACTTTCTGATCTGTCCAAATGACAGAACTTATCGCAAAACCTATAAACAACTGAGTTGGAGTGACGATAGCTATGCAGTAACTAATATTTCTCTACTTTTCGGAATGATTTAATTTTCAGATACCTCGTTATTTTCTGGTATTTCGTTTTTTTTCTGGTATACTTTTTTGCCAAATTGTTCTAAGTTTGCTTTAAAGTACAATGAATCCAGTCAACATCGTAGACCGTTTGTAGTACCTCAATATAAGATGCCGACAAAAAATTCGAATATCTGTAATAATCCCGTCTCACAAGTAAAAAGTCAGATAAAAAAATTCGGCTTCGCAAGTAAAAAATCGGATTGAGCGGGAACTTCACAAGTTAGCAAAAATTCGGAGCCGGCACACTCAGTTACCTATATTTACTATTTTTCGGTAGTAAAACTGGAAAAAACTCAAAGTCCTTTTCATCTGTATTTCAGGTTTTCATCCAAAAACGCCTCAAAATTCCTCCAAATACACTCCAACTCAGTTATTTATAGGTTTTTTTCGATATGATCTTTCATTTGGACAGGTCAGACATTTTTTTAGCGGTTAACCACTTACGGACCTTCCCTCCTTAGAGGCACGAAAACTTCAGCACAAATACAACGTGGCTCAAACGAGAAAACAGTGCAGGTCCGGACACTAGAGATCGTCTTATTATCAAGTTACAGCTGGCTCTACGATCTTATGTCAAAAAGTGCCATAGAAAGTACGACACACCTGGAAAACGGCAATAAAGCGGATGAGTCTATATTCGTAACATGAAAAAGCCTGTAACTTGGTCGACTAACATCGTAAAACCTTGAGATGCATCTCCCTTTGTGAAGAATTGAAAGGGCTATCCAATGAGATTGTTGACAAAATTTTGAAAGAAATTTAAGATTTAGAGGTTTTCTAGAAAATCGGGGTTTTTTGAGAAATCTCTCTCGCAAGACTCGAAGGTGTAGGATAACTTTTCTTCGTCGAAATATATAGAACTCGGCACGCTCTTCCATTTGATACCACGTTCAAGGTTCTACGTTAGGTAATGTGGTCCGCAGACGATCTACAAGTTACGCCAAAGCCGCCGGAAAATGAAGAAGATGCATTTTTCCGCAGTCAGGGTAAAATGGCTATAACTGTTTTTCTAACAACGCTACAGACTTGCGGTTTTCACCGTTCAGTTCAGCTTGCTGAGCTCTATAATGTAAGATAGTTCTCGTCACTGACGTCAACGGTCGATGCAAATGGTAGTAGTTTTTATATGGATTGAGTCTATCCGTCGATGCCAAAATTTCACTCAAAATTCAATAGCTGGCGTTTCTCTTGGAAGTCCAGAGTATTTCTTTTGCCGTTTTATCACTTCATTCGTCCAGTATCTACCCTAAAAGGCTGCGTCTTACTATGCTGGTTACGCATGAGATAATGAATGGTGAAGTAGTAGCGGTAGCGCCATCTATAACTTGATAATAACACGACCTCTAGAGTCTAGACTTCTTTAATGAACTTTTTTATAGTTTTTATTTTATTGATTTTTCTTGCATCCCGGTAACTATGATACGATGACTGAATATGCTGGTACTGATGCCACAATAGCATTTACCGATAAACCTGATAGTAAAAATGCTAGTAGACTATTACAAAAATATATTGTTGGTGAATTAGTATTAGAAGAAAGGATGTACGATGATACGTTACGAGAACTAACCATAACATATTAATAACAGTACAGTTAAATCAACACTATCAGATTTTCACATTTGAATTGTCTGTAGTCGAACGCGTGCTACAAACGTGTATTTTAATATACCTTCTGGACTTTCTCTGAAAACTAGATACTCACACACCAAATACAAGAACAATGTAATTAGAATAATTAGACACAACATCAATTCAGTTCACTTTTCAGTGTTTAAACCAGTTTCTTTAATACGTTTGTACTGTGAAACTCATAGCCATTCCGTATCCGATAGCGCTAGAAAACTGACAGGTATCGCCATAGCACAGTTCGTTGAGATATTCACTGTCAACGTAATACAGGTCATGGTCGACCTCACAACTACTTCCACCCGTTGTTGCATCCACAGCCATTGCTAGCCATTGCCCTGCCATTATGTTGAGACTCCCAACTGGTATTTGAAAGTGTTGGATCCCCGTTGTCTTCAAAATTGTAGAGGAGGGCAGCTGGTATGGTGAAGTCAAATTGAAAAGAAATGAAACGTCCTTATACGCACTAATTATAAAAAATGTAATATTTGGCGCACTACCGCTCGGTTTGTCGCAAAAGTTAATACTGATATTTTTTACGTAACCGTTGATAAGAGTGCGATCACGGTAGTTGAATTGCGTGTACCCTTCATCTTGATCACTTGTACTGGACGTGACGGCAGTTGTGCCGTAAGTGGCTGAAAACAATAGCAGGTCAAACTGTCACTCTTTCCTAAAATTTTGCACACTCACCTGTGTAACCTGATGGAAGTGTTGTTACTGTGGTCTCTGAGGAGAAGAGAACAATGAAGATAGATCATGCGCTATTTCTCACTTTATTCTCTAATGTTACCTGGTGATGTGATTGTGAAATTGAAAGATGCTCCACGATAGAGATCATTGCTAAAAGTAGATGCCGCACCACTCGTGACAGACGCAGAAAGATCCGTTTTTTTGATAAAATAAAGATTTCGATAGACCGTGTAGGCACTTCCTGATCCTGTTCCAAATCCAACACCTACACAATCACCGACATTAACATTCATCATACCAGAGGGTAAAACAAATGTTTGTGGCGTTCCTACTACATTCGTAATAGTACTCGGTGGCACCGTATATTGATAGAGAACCTGAAACTGTTGTGATTTCGAAGTTGTTCGAAGTATGCAAAAAAATAGCTTAGCGCTGTTCGCTGTCGGTGCTACAAAAAAGGCAATTGAAACTTCTTTAACGTATCCGGTCGTGTTCACTTGATCCATAAAATTGAATACAGTATACCCAGTGTCATTATCACTGGCAGCTAAAAATGTGTCCACGCTACCGTAGATGGTATCTTGGAAAGAGAAACGAAATGCGAATTTGATTATGAAATTTCGAAGATTTACCTGTTGTTGAGTTCCAGTTTACTGCTGCTTGGGATGTTGTTGTTGCTAGAATGGAACCGGTATAACAGAACTCCAGTGAATACTAGACTTATAACGTGAAGGGCCTATAGAACTCGTATCACGGATCTTTGACAGCTTACATGAAATTCACAAGAAACAGAAGTATTGCCTATATTAGTATTTGTCTGAAACCTTTTCTGATAGTTATAACATGATGTATTCATCATGACGGCGATGGTGGCGTGGGGTATAAGCATGGTATATGTCGTATTATTATGATATTCATTCTTAGATGGACTCAAACATCTATAAACTATATCTCCACAACAATGAAACACGACACTAGTCTGCTATTCCAAAACAAAAGAAGTTTTGTGTTCGAACAAAACTTTCTCTGAACAAAGTGTTACTTATGTGTGTGACGGGTGTCGCTGTTGTTGTTATTGTTGTTGCTAGAAAGAAACAAACTTTGCATAATCGAGAGTAAATTATCTATAAAATCCTGTATTAGTCAATCATTTGACAGAATTTTGTATGAAAGTTAATATTTTTTCGCGTCACTTTAACATAGAAATCCACTGTAAGAAGGCTACATGTACCTATGTGTGTAACGTGTGAAGTCGTCACTAGAAAATACAACGACATCGAAAATATATTTTCAATTCGTTCAAAGAATAAAATATTACCATGGGTTGTTAAATTCGATGAAGATGCGCTATTGCCGTTTTGCTTCTCGACTAGAGAGAAAAAGAGACAACCAGATATGATGAATCATGTGCAGTCGTGAAAAATGAAACAGAACAGCTTTCTCGCGGGAAGATGACGGAATAAAAGGTGCTAAATGAGTGGATTTTAATGCTTTTATCATGCATAAAATTACTTTTTATATGCAGCTACTTAATAAACAACAATTAAACTAATTAAATTAACAACAATAATACCAAAATGTGTTCCACTTGTGACGAAGCGCGTTTTGGTAAAAAGTCACTATACTAGCGATACTCAGACCTAAATTATGGCTCGTATCAGACAGTAGCATATACGAAGACGCCTTCGTCAATCCTTCGAACTCCTCTATTCAACATTCTGTGATTGTTGTATTGGCACATCGACCCGGAGTGACATACAAAATCAAACAATTATTAGGAAAGTATAACATTCTTACTTTTATTCGACGTCCAAGGAGTGTTTACGGCTTTTCACAACATTTTATTTTTTCATATTTCTTTACTTTTGTGCATTTCTTTTATGTACTCTCGAAAGAGAATCCGTAGTTTACAAAAACGAAAATCAGTTTTGACATTTTCTCCTAATACAACTGATATCTGTATCGTACAGTCCTGCTTAACCATTTCGCAGAATACGCTTGAACGTTTTTTGTCTCGTGAAGAAACCGATTTAGGTTTTGTATCAGAGAAAAAACGTTCAAGCGTATTCTGCGAAACGGTTAAGCAGGACTGTACGATACAGATATCAGTTTCTGATAGGAGAAAATGTCAAAAAACCGACATTCGCTCTCTAAGCTACGAATGTGTTTTTGAGAGTACTGATGAAGATCAACCAGCTGACACGTCTATCTGATTAACTATTTCATAATTAACTAATTTTATACAGAATAAAAGCATTAAATTCACTAATTTATCCACATTTCTGTAAAGGATAGCAAACAAATCTAATAACTAGGGGTGTTAATTTAGTGTTACTTTGGAAAATAAATGTAAATGAATCATTTATACTAAAAAATAAATATAAATAAATGAAAAAAAAAATTATCTTTATTTTATAAAAGTAAATGATTCCTTTATATTTATTTATTTATTTGTACCTTTATTTTTAAAAATAAATAAATAAATATAAAGGAAGCATTTACTTTTATAAAATAAAGATAATTTTTTTTTTCATTTATTTATATTTATTTTTTAACTATAAATGATTCATTTAGTTTTATCCATTATTATAAATGAAAAATAAAACTAAATTAACACCCCTACTAATAACTACTGTGATACGTACGGTGTTCTTTCGCAACATAGATCAGAGCACCAACAATACCCCCACAAACAAGCAACGTAACCACGGCCAAAGTAATTTTCCACGATACACTTCAAAAAGAAATAAGATTACACCGCATTTTCATTCTGTAAAAGATGATTACCGTCTTTTTCGATTTATTGCTGGCCCGACAACTGTACGAGTCTCAATCTACACAAAACAAATACAAGTTAAACTAGGAGTTATTTAACACAATGTTTCAGTCTACAAACGCCTGAAACAGCGAACGGACGGAGAGGCGGATTTAGTTCTTCAGCTGTTATTTGTTGTTCCATTGTTGGTACGACGGTGTTTGCTGTGCGGACATAATATGCCATAATTGAGAGACTAGAAGAAAGGCAAACAAATGTTTACGTCTCTGTGACGTCAGTACCTAAATGTAGAGCACTTAAAATTTCGATAAGCTGTTTCGATGTCTGATGAGTATCGATCAAACCCGTCTTAGACATTCATCAAACGATAAATAATGACAGTATGGTACATCACAT